AATTTGACCGTGGGATGCAAATTTGATTGCGTGAACATCGAAACTTGGCCCCGAATTGTGGAATTCTCTGGGATGGATCTCTAGAAGATCAGTCGCGGAGTGAATCGACATGTCGCTAACTTCGACGATCCTCTCTGAGGAGTCGGGACAGGTACCACAGGCCAGGGCTTGAGGCCGTGCTCAGGCATCAGCGATACAGTTCAGCCTGTGCGCTCTCTTTTCCAACATCACCTCAGCTACACGCGAGATGACTGGGTCAATGCTTGGGCTATAATTACGCCTTGAGAACACGAGGCGCCCGCTTCGTTCTGTGTGGTGGATTTCTCCTCCACGTATTCGGTTGAGCTTCCTACTTAAGCAGCAAGCAAATGGGGGAGGCGCTGCGAAATGCCAACACCCCTTCCCCACGGCAAAGCCTCGTGGTCGTCGTAAGCGGGCGGCATGTATCAAGGATCTTGCGAGAATTGGGATAAGAGTACGGGCATTCGACCAAAACTTACCCGGGGCCGAGAAGCTCCAAGGAGTATGAAGAGTCTTGAAAGTCGATTAGAGCAGTAGAGACTGGCGTGCCCCGCACGCCGCCTAGCAACGCTGACCTTGCGCAAACATGGCACGATAATCATGAGAGTGGGAGAATTCGAACCTGTACGGCTAGTATCTTGACTTGGTTGGAGGCTGGAGAGGGGAGGTGTTCACGAGCAAGGTTGCTGAGAAAGTGCCTAGCATTCCAGGACCCCCTCACTCCCCTGCAAGTTGCTGGTCGCAAGAATGTCTCCGACGGGCTAGTGTCGATTGCATAACTCGAAGCATAATCCCCAAATCGGAGAAAGCCAGCGGGTGACGGTCATGACGGTCAGCGTACGGGTATCGGTGGCCTGGTATCAGAGTTTATCCGGTCTCGACCAGGGCGTCGACATTTCAAGTCAAATGACGCCTCACATGGCGCTGACACTTGAGTCAATTCCATCTCTCTCCCCCCTTCGCCTCCGTTGCGCCGCGTGGGAGCCCTTTCCTCTTGTCTCTGTTTGTCACCCGAGAGAGAACAAAAGTAATCAAACATCCATTTTCGTCAAGGCCGAGGTTGCAATTCACCCGTCAACAAGTGACAAAGTGAAGGCTCACTGCCCCCTCCAATGCTGCCACGATGGTGACTGCAACCAAGCCAGCAGGGTCTCACGCCGAATCCTCTAGCGCGCAGCGGTCGATAGGGCGCGCCGGGCCCCTGCTGTCACCGGGAAGTCAACATTCCAAGCATCGCTAGACATAGACAAAATTCCTAGCTGGGGTACTATCCCAAATTCCAGCCGAGCATGCGCTTTGCCCTTTTCGAGCTCGTGTGGCTTGCTGCATGATTGGCTCGACAACGGGGCGTCCTGCCGCTGACTCAGGATGCTCACCAAATCTCTGTCATGGTTCGAGCTCTAGGTGAGCTTCCTTTTGCTGTCGGCTTCGTCAACATTCCATGCGACACACTGCGGGTCGCACAATCTCCACGGACCAAAGCCTGCTCTCGTTAGACCGCGACGAGGACATGCAAAACAGCACATCTTCGACACACCTATCAGATCTTGTCGATTGTGGGAGGTTGAAGGTCGTCACCGGCCTAGACTTCTGGCGAACTACCTGCTCGGGCAAGGGTGACTTCCTGTTAGAGTTCAAGGTTCAGCTCGCCGAACGGCGAAAATCCACGAGACGTCTTCCCTCAGCATTGTACCCCAGTCCGCTGAGGTTAGACGCGCGCTGAGCAGCAGCATCTGCATCTTCATCTGCATCTGCAAATGCATGCCATCTCATGAGTCATCAAGCCCGCTACTCGAGTGTTTGAACTCTGGTGCATTTCCCTTCCAGAGCCAATCCCAGGACCTTCCGCCGACCTCAGCGATCCCTTTGCCCCTGGGGCGCCAATGCTACTCGGGTTTCATGATCACGGAATCACTAATTGGCTATGACAAAAGACAAATGGGGAATATCCGACTTGAGTGCCGTTGACCGTACCCATCATGTGTGGAGGAGGATCTTGCGTCGAGCTCGACAGACATGGTCATGTCCTAGCAAAGAGCTATCTTGTTATTCGTGCTCGAATTTCTGGTGATTATAGGAAATTGCAGCCAGGGAGTCTCTGCACGGACGGTATCTGAGTTCTGTCCAGGACTTTGTCACGAAACCTACGATTCGTCCTGATCCTTTCCACATTCACCTTGTGGATTGCCCTCAAAGACTCTGGTGCTTCGGGAGGATCATAGTACTCGGTGCTTCATCCGAGTATCTCATCTGACTGCACCACGGGCTCGGGAGCGCTCTCCCGCTGGTGTTGATTAGAATGAAAGGAGAGGAGACACCGGGCTATAATCGTCCTTCACTCGTGCTAGGTTTTGAAACCAAGGATGACATGGACTTCTCAGAGAGGTAACATACAATCCCAATCGGAATGTCGATGAAGCATACCTGAAAGAACCACAATACATCTATTTGGCTGTTACACCATCGACATCGGAACCTTCTTGGGGCTCCCCCGGGCCTGGACCTCTTTGGGCATTGGGTGCTGACCGAAGCCGGGACCGGTACACAAATGACTCGAAAAGACAGTACACCACTCGACTTCAATGTGACCCCTGTTGGAGATGCTTCTTCCTGCACGCCCACCAGGCTTATATGACAATCAGCAGTCACATTATCCGTTTCTGGCGATATAACCGGACGCTTTGTAGCCAGATAGATGTCTTGAAGCGGGCAGGATATCGAAATACCATCAGCCTAGGAGGTCACGTGCCTACCACGTTGTTTGGACGTCGGGCCTGGTTGATGGTGTGTCTGGGCCTCGTTACTACCCCCGGAGGTGATTCTAAGCGCTGGTCTTTGTTCTCACTGGCACGCTTGGCCCATGGAGTTGGACACACGCACCTGTCAATCCGCCTATACTCTGAGGCTAGACAATGATCATCTGATCGCCAGCCGACTCGGGCATAACGCCGGCCGCTTGACCCTACTTTATGCGTTCTGAAATTCGGGATCGTCCGCGGCTATAGCCGCGACAGCGCTTTGCCATTGTCGGAGGCTCGTGTGAAGGTTCCTGGATACCTGCCACGTTTGTCTATTCCCTGGTCAAACTCGTGAGTTTTGCCGACTCACGGGCCATTCTTTGAGGAGGAACTGATACTCCGTGCGCTAACATTTTCTGGCCGTTATTGGTAAAGGCATTGACGATCTTGCTGTGTTGACACGGTTCGACGAAGATTCATCGATATGTTGCGCTGGATGTTTATTTCTGCCTAAATTGGTGGATATCTTAAGTCCGGGGGTGGCCACCATCTGGCAGCGAAAGATAGGGGCACTCTGGGTGGGGCAAGTCGACTGCAACTCGCTTGTCGGTCGAGAATGGTGCTCTACGTCATATCCCAGCGCGCAGTCTACTCGGACACAAGTCGGGATATCGCTCGGGTAGGAAGGGTCTCGTCCGAGTGAGAACAAACCCGGTCAGCCTTACCCGGCAGTTCTTTTCTCCCGCGGCAGCTCCCGCCGGGGTCATTTTCCGACAACCATCGAAGCTGCGTACACAGTATTCAGGGTTGCCTCCTCGGATCCGCACTGTCCACGGGCGCTTGGAGAGAAATCCAGGCGTTGGGATATCATATGTCCAGAACGTTGGTACAATTCCACAGTCGGCGAGTCCGTGAGGCCGCACGGGGCCCTGATTCTTCAGTCCGGCAATGAATTTCCCTGTGTGGATACGAGTATGTGACAGTCCAGCAAAAGGTCTTCGCCGTGGAAAAGCCAAGGCTTCCATGCAGGAACGCCATGCACGATGAAATAATCGTCGACAGATTGTCTGATCCTTCGCGCCACAACGGTTCGGGAAATACCTCGTACATACCTATAAGCTATCCTTCGTTTGGTAAGCACTAACTACTGCATCGGCATTCCCACGAGGCAGGCTTGGCACTTCCTTGACATCTACAGAGTAAATCGTGCTTGTCAAACGGTACCGTGTACCACACAGTACCTTCAGGCAGTCTTCGAGTTCGATTTAGGCGGATGCTATTCTTGACCGTCCGTCGTGTCGTCCTACCTCAATCGAACAGAGCTACCCGGTTCCGAAGCCATAGTCCGTTTGTTGCCTTGACCCAAAAAGCCAAAGAGCACTTCTGGTGTCTTTCCTTGGTCTCCTCCATACCGCACGAAAATCAGAGCGCCTCCGCCAAGACCAACACAATCGTTCGACATCGCCGACGTCATGCGACAAACGCGATGCATGCCATGTTCTTTGCCAACCTTTCCGGTCTCAGAGCCCTCTGGCCCGTTGCCGCCAGTACGCGCTAAGGACAATGAACTGGTGGATATACACAGTTCATCAAAGAACTTATTCGAATGTTGTCCCGAACACTGAAAGACCGTACGTGCCTCGGAGGATACCTCGTACTGTGTAGAGGTTGACGTGAGACCACAACCGCCGCCGGGCCTGCTCGTTGAATGCTCGGAAGAAGCACCCCCCGGGGGCCCCTACACTCACGCATGATATAGCTGGGAACCTCTCCTGCCGCAGGTGGAATTTTTAATGCATCGCTCGTCTGCCCTGCCCGCCCGCCGTTGAACATCGATTCTACTACACCGTGCGCTTCTCCCGTGAAAGACAAACATCTACCCATGCGAACCACGCTGTCTCATCGAGGACTTCACCAAGTTCTATTATCCCCCGATCAGGATTTTATAACGGGGCACGCTACAGAAAGGTAGAAGGGTAGATGGGTAGATAGATGTGCTAGTAGCGTTCGCAGTATGCAATAGAGAGCTTCGCCATTCAAAGGCTCGTCTCTTCTCGTATCACATCGCATCGTGTCGCATCGCATCGCATTGTACTGAGTGAGTACTCGTACCAGCGACCGAAGAACGAGGCCAGCCACGCCTTCTTCGGCGAGAAAGTCCCCAAAACAAACACACGAGACGAGCACCGTGTCCCGCAAAAGACCACACCGGTAAAAGGTATATATAAGAAAACATCCAAAAACAATCGACAGCCAGGATTCCCAAGTCATCACCGACCTTGGTACTTACTGGCCGGTATATGGCTTAAGTGTGGCTGAGCAAACGGGAAGCACTGTTTTCCATATCCTATGGTCGATTGCGAGAGACCATGTGTCGTTATAACTTATAACCACAACCTGCATCTACATGTTAGTTTGGTGCTCTACGTACCGCTGGTCGCGCCTCGTCCGCCTTTCCCTGCTTGGCCGATACCGTACATGGGATGGGCACTAACTAATGAATACATTTGAATCATGCATTGTCAAATACTATGCTCTGTTTCGTATGCTTTGCATATCTTCGTCTTCGTCGTCGCCATCATCCTTGCCACCCTCGACAGCGCCGCCAGTGGTCATGTTCCAGACCCGCCATCTCAATCGTTCAATAACCTCTCTCCGTAACCAGGTTCCCCCCGTTCCCGAGAACCACCTGTCGCTATCTTTCTCTTCATCGTCGCCCGCAGCTACTTGCACGTCTTCATTTTGCCCATGCTCTCTCTGTCTTCGCTCATTCTCTTCATCTTCCTTCTCCCACCGATCGAACCAAGCAAATAATAGGCGCAATTGCCAAAGCTTGTCTTTATCCGCCTGCACCCTCTCCACGGCTGGTGGAAGAACACCCTTCTCGAACTCTAACCTTGAATCCACAACCGATGTTCTGAGGAAAGTTTTGCCATCCACTGGGGTCGGAGCCAATACAAGTGCTCGCTCCGCGTGGTCGAAGTCTTTCAAGGCTTCAAGACCGAAAAGCCAATCCAAAGGTTCCGGGTTGGTAGTGATTTGTGAGTAGGATGGAATGGCATTCGGATCAACGCTAGGGATACCCATGGACTCAGCCCTGGCCTGTACTTCTGCCATGAAGAGATCTTTGGATGGTGTGTCATAGGCGACTCTCCGTCGCAGCACGACATTAACTGCGTTTTCCTGCTTGATTTTCTCCAGAACGTGCTTCCCGCCGGACTCGAGGTCGGTGTAACTATCCCAGAAGCCTGCACCTTTGATCTCGATGGACCTGATCGTGTCAAACTCTGGAACCAAGCCAGGTAAGCGGATGACTTGGGTGGTGCCATCTCTCAATCGGATGAGACCAGTCATGCCGCCAACAACCGAGCCGCCTGCGTCACCGTCTCTGGCCACAAGGCATCGTCCCTCAACAGCGAGAACCCAGAGATGGCGCAAAGCCTGAAGATGCCCTCGATTGTCGAGGACGTCACTAGGGAAAACCGGGTAGAAGGCTATACACAGGGCTGCAATACAGAGATTTGAAGTGCCGAAAGTCCGTGTGCCACCGGCTAGAAAAAGTGCGCCTAAAGCCATATGAGCTGCAAGGTGACTTCCGAACGGCGTCTCTTTATCAACTCGTCCATGAAGAGCACGCAGACGACGCATCACATGTATGTCGCCGGAACCAGCCATCACCGAGGCTGTGGCTAGCGCAAGAGTGTCAAGGCAATTCCGTACACTATTCAATGTCACCCGCGCGTCATAGTTGCGAGCAGGCAAGCGGCTCAAGCGAAGGAACTGATCGAGATAGGAGACCAGCAGATCGCGAACATCACGGCGTTGAGAGCCCGCGAATCTTAAGCTGATTGCGAAACAGATGCCGGCAACAATGTTGAAGAAAGGCATATCTTCCGTGCTGAGGACTTTGGTCGATCTCAGATCACTGCGCCATGTATAAGGCTTGGGCAGCGACATCCTGATGAAATCTTGAGTGGGCTGGATAGAGTCCCACATGATCAAATGTCGAGCTAATGTTCGGAGGAGAAAGATATCTGGTCGCACATAGTCGAACTGGTGCACTGTATCTGGAACGTCGACCTTCTTCGCAATAGCTTCGTTGTTTGTTTTGAGGAAAATAAATGCCAGGGCCATAACAGCTCCGGCAGTGGCGCGATCCAGCACGTGTACCATGTTCACGTTCTTGGTACCAACCGCGATGGTGAGTAGACGTTCGACCACGCCCACATCGTGCAGACCATGAAGACGTCTTCCTTGCCCGAGATTAATAAGACCTAGGGAAAAGCCGGCCGCGAGTCTGTACCCCTCGTCACGAAGTACGTTGTCGGGCACGACGCCTTCTTCTGGATCATTGTTTTCGATTTCCGATAGCATGACCTCAGACATGCGACGGTGCTGAGAATTGTGGTACAAAAGACCAATGCCCATGATTCCCGTGGTTTGTGTAAGTGGCGAAAGATTCAACTCGGCAGCACCCGGGGGCAGCAGACGAGTGACGTGCACAGACAAGAGACGGGTGATGAGGGTATCCATGGTGCCCAGAAAGGAAGCTGACAATCCGAGCAGCAGTCCGACGGAGGTCATGGTGTGCTTGGGTGTGAGGTATTTAAAGGCAACCCATTTGGCAAGTGATTTCAGATGACCGTTGAGTCCGAGGGCAAGCAAGAACCCAGCGTGCCGGTTTGTGAGTTCGGGCGGCTTGTTGTAGAGGATCCAGGAAGTATCAATCCCCTGAGCATCGTTCGAGATCATGAGACCCATCGATGCACCGTTATGGAAGAACGCCCAACAAACCTTTTCTTCTGTGAAAGTGGATTTGTCTGCACTAAAAGTCATGGCTTGAGTACTCTCGCTGGCGTTCCGAGGTTTCATGACACATTGCAAGCTGAACGCAGGTATGGGCACCCTTTCGGTGAGCAACGGGACACGGGCTGTGAATTGCATCATGCCTCGTCCTGCAGCGACTGACAGAGTTCTTCTTGCGACATGCTGTGCCAGCGCTTTCTGCGCTTCGAGTAAATCCACCTCGCTCCAGCCAGGTTCAGGAGTACATTCCACGAGTGGAGGTTTCGTCTGGTTCACAATCTTTGAAGCTTCTTGAAATCGACGATCTTCGTTGAATATCAGTTTCGTAATTGCTTGTCGGTCAGCTTCAGACGATGCATCCCACCGTTGGAGCGTTTCTGCCTCGAGCGCAGATGAGCAAACGGTGTGGTAGTCTCGAACGGCTTCGTGAGAGGGCATCAATTGCTGTTTATGTGAAGAGTGAGCTGAACCATAGATAGTTCGGTTTTCAGGATCAATTCCGTGAAAAAGCCGATTTCCAAGACCCGCAAGTCGGGACATCCCGAAGCATTTCGAAGCGATAGCTTGATAGAAAACGGCAGCGACTCCGTCAGGAAGCGTTGTCAGCATATGCTCACTCACTCCTGAATGAGCGAGGATGTCAAGTGCTTTTGTCGGACCGAGCTGTCCATTCGCGTGGTCTATGAAGGATAAGATTGCCAATGTTCTTGGGGTCAATGAAAACATCGTTCTCCACAATGGATCGTCAGGACTGCTCGGGACTGTCACACCAGATATTCGTGCCAACGTGAGAAAGGGAGCCGATGGAGAGCCATTAATCCAGTTATCCAGGTGTTGGTATATCGACGGTGGTGGGAATGGTTGAGCTGGAACACGTAGACCATCTATAGACGAGTCGTCATACAAAGTCTCCATCACTTCTGCCGATTCATGTTCATAATAAGTGTTACTCTCAGCCGTCCAGTCTTTCCATTCCAGCCAGCGGCCTAGTTGAGCCAGAACCAATACCAGACTGTCTTTGTATCCCTTTAAATTTGGTGCGGATGTGTCGTTGAGTTTGCCTTCTTCGTAAAGAAGATGCAGACCAAGTAAAATGCTAGGTATGGCATTGCAGCGTTGGTCACGATCTCTGTTGATTGATGTTGGTAGATAACCCTCGGGCCCCAGCGCAGCCTCTCCCAGGGGCGTCTGGGTGTACTCTCTCGCCATGGCTATACATGCCATCAAGAATGAATTCTTCTCGGATCTACCATCATGTAAAGAGGTCGCGTTTGCAGTCCTAGTGTGCTGAGACTTTGGCGAGATTGTCGCATTGCTGACGGGTTTCTGTGATAACCAACTCCATGCTGATCCTCGCGTACCTAACTCCGGGGCCAATTCGTGGCCTTCATTGTGCATGAGGTGATAATTGGTAAGATCGATGGCACTTCCGCTGCTAGACCGTAATAGACCGGTCTTTTTGCGCCGACTTGGTGTTGATTTTGGATGCGGATTGCTTATGAAAGGGACTGCCAGCGAGAAAAGCACAACGACCATTGCAGTCCACTCGGACGTCAACGGAGGGTCTCGGCCCGCCAACCACCTGGAAACTTCCCAGAAGGCAACTTGAAGGGTTTCTTCTTGATTCGGACCAAGAATCAATCCACACGTCTGCAAGATTTGGCGGACAAGACCGTCTCGAGGAGCAAGGGGAAGTCCCAAGGAGTGCTGGCGATCCTCTTGGTCCACAGCATATATCTGCGCCTCAACCCCTGAGTTGAGGAGACCTTCAATTTTCACTTCCGTACCAGGTATGGCCCTTCTAATCCCGGTATCTTTGTCCTTCCTAGGACTAGCCCTTTGAGGGCCGAGAAAAGGATCGTAAACCGCATACCACTCGGGTAGCTGGATATGGAACGAGGGCGACCAGGGTGCTTCGAGGTGAAGACTCGCGAATTGGGACCGTGACTGCGTCAAAAGGACCAGTCGCTGGATAGATCCATCAATGACTGTACAGGCGTCCCTGATGCCGGGCATTCTGCGAACTTCGGCGACCTTCAGCTCAAAAGAAGATTTTGAGACGGATTGTTTTGGGCTGCTGGGCGGAATGTGAATTTTCACAAGAACTCTGACTAAAGTCATCTCCTGCGCGGTCTTGTCCATCACGCATAGGTAGATCTCCCTCATTCGATGTCCATTTTGACCGGACGAGCTGGGGCTGTTGAGCTGGAAAACCTTTACCTCCCGAGTTGACCTGGGAATGGTGAAGTTCTGATCACTGGGAAGGCTCTTTACTTTGAAGAACCCTATAGTTCTGGGCAGGTTGGATTCAGAGGTTTCCAATGCATCCTCCTCGAGACGCGTGGATTGGCGCAAGGGATCCATCTCATCCAACAAGCCGCGAGTTGAGAGGTCCAGGAAGGAAGTGCCAGTGCTGAAGATGGACGCATTGGTCGGGTAAGAGCTTCTTCGTCGGAAGCCAAAACTGTGACGATCGTTGAAACTACCAATCGACTCACCTCGTTTCGCTGCCCGATTCAGACTCTTCCGACCAGCATGACCCATTGCCAGA